ATGTCCAAGAGCATTTGCAGTTTGTTGGAAGGAATGAGAAATTGCTACTATGATGTGCACAAATGACTAAATGTTGTGGAGGTTGAACTAACTGTTGTGCAAATGTAAATAGTGATGTGAGAAATGCACCAAAGCGACTGAGAAAAACTGTAATGTTGTTTATGTTTCTATGTGGTGTTTTAATATACTTTAATACAAACCATGTGTAAATTCATAAGTCGACAGCATTGCTGAGTATTTCCTCCTTAAAGTGAACCAGACAGTCTCAATCAGGTCACCGTGGTAAATCCTAACTTAGACGGCTAATTTACATATTCATAGAACCGCGCATACTAAATGAGGCAAGGGTGTCGAGTTACATTCAAGACATTTTAAGGCGTGAATAAAAAATTTTCAAGGAAAAAACGTTTAAATATGTAATTTTGGTGACCAAAGATGAGTTTTAAGGGATAAAATGATCGACTACAGGGGGACTCAGGCCTACGCTGCTTCACAGACAGGATAATGGTTCCGTTCATCACCACTAGAGGCCAGCAAAGCACCAGCCTGAGTTCAGTAAGCGCTTCTGAAACCGCAGGAACTCTGAACATCATCTCAGCCTCTGCTGGAGTTTCACTGGTGGAGTTTGTCTCATTTCAGACTGAAGTCTGTGAGTGACTGGTTTGATTTCGAAAGTTTTTCACTTTTCACTTCAGGCCTGAAGTCTCGCGCCGTTTCTGACCCGACGGGCCTCAGACAGAAGAACATGATAACCCTGAGACCGAGAGCTGTGGTGAAACTGTGTCAGGAGTGTGTGTGTGTGAGTGAGAGTCGAGCTGCTATTGTCAAACCAACCGCTTTCATTCTTGAGTTCAGGTTTGACCGGACGTGCCGGTTCTCTTGAGTTTCTTTGCATAAGATCAGGCGCTTACGATCAATGTGATGAAGAAGATGATGATGAAGATGACGATCTGATGATGAAGATGACGATCTGATGATGCACTGACACTCACTCCGTCAGGAAATACAGCATTACATTCATTACTAAAATTAAATCCGTGATTCTGAACTGAGCAATCAGAGATTTACAGGATTAGTTCTGTTCAGCTTTCAAAACCGTTGCTAAGGTGTTCTGAATGGTTGTTAATCGTTCAGGGTGGTCTGAATGGTTGCCAAGATGTTACCATGCTGTTACTAAGGTCTTTAGACTCGTTGCTATGCAGTTCTGCACAGTTGCCAAGCTGTTGGTGTGTTTTTGTTGTTGTTGTTGCCAAATCATTCTAAATGGTTGCAAAGTATGTTGCTACGCAGTTACTATGACTTCTAAAAGCTAGTCCTAAGCATGTTGATATGCATTTGCTAAATACGCTGAGTGGTTGCCATGTTTCTTTGTTGTTGCTAGGGCATTCAGAGTGCTCGCAAAGTATGTTGACTTCCATTTGCTAAGGCATTATGAGTGGTTGCCAGGGTGTTGCTATGTAATTGCTAAGGTGTTCTGAATGATTGTTGTTGTGTTGCAATGCGGTTGCTATGGCATTTCTATGCAGTTGATAAATAGTCGTTGCCATGTTTCTTTGCCTGAGGGGTTTTCAAGGTGTTGCTATACAGTTACATAGGCATTCTGAGTGGTACTTGCTATTTTGCTATGCAGTTTCTAGGCCATCTGAGTGGTTGCAAGGGCGTTGCTATGCAGTTACCAAGGCATTCTGAGTGGTACTATGCATGTAGCTATGTAGTTGTTTGGGCATCTGAGTGGTTGCCAGGGCGCTGCTATGCAGTTATAAAGGCATGTGGTACTATGCATGTTGTTATGCAGTTGTTTGGGCATCTGAGTAGTTGCCAGGGCGTTGCTATGCAGTTATAAAGGCATTCTGAATAGTAGTTGGGATGTTGCTTTGCAGACGTTTGGGCATCTGAGTGGTTGCCAGGGCCTTGCTATGCAGTTACCAAGGCATTCTGAGTGGTACTATGCATGTTGCTATGCAGTTGTTTGGGCATCTGAGTAGTTGCCAGGGTGTTGCTATGCAGTTATAAAGGCATTCTGAATGGTAGTTGGCATGTTGCTATGCAGTTGTTTTGGCATCTGAGTGGTTGCCAGGGCCTTGCTATGCAGTTACCAAGGCATTCTGAGTGGTACTATGCATGTTGCTATGCAGTTGTTTGGGCATCTGAGTGGTTGCCAGGGCGCTGCTATGCAGTTATAAAGGCATTCTGAGTGGTACTATGCATGTTGCTATGCAGTTGTTTGGGCATCTGAGTGGTTGCCAGGGCCTTGCTATGCAGTTACCAAGGCATTCTGAGTGGTACTATGCATGTTGCTATGCAGTTGTTTTGGCATCTGAGTGGTTGCCAGGGCGTTGCTATGCAGTTAACAAGGCATTTTGAGTGGTACCATGCATGTTGCTATGCAGTTGTAAAGGCATCTGAGTGGTTGCCAGGGCGTTGCTATGCAGTTAACAAGGCATTTTGAGTGGTACCATGCATGTTGCTATGCAGTTGTAAAGGCATTCTGAATGGTACTAGTTTGCATGTTGCTTTGCAGTTTCTATTGCGTTTGAGTGGTTGCCAAGGTGTTGCTGTGCAGTTACAAAGGCATTCTGAGTGGTACTACGCATGTTGCTATGCAGTTGTTTGGGCATCTGAGTGGTTGCAAGGGCCTTGCTATGCAGTTACCAAGGCATTCTGAGTGGTACTATGCATGTTGCTATGCAGTTGTTTTGGCATCTGAGTGGTTGCCAGGGCGTTGCTATGCAGTTAACAAGGCATTTTGAGTGGTACCATGCATGTTGCTATGCAGTTGTTTTGGCATCTGAGTGGTTGCCAGGGCGTTGCTATGCAGTTAACAAGGCATTTTGAGTGGTACCATGCATGTTGCTATGCAGTTGTTTTGGCATCTGAGTGGTTGCCAAGGTGTTGCTGTGCAGTTACAAAGGCATTCTGAGTGGTAGTGGCAAATGATCTATCTAAATTACAATAATTTAGCATGTAATTAAGATGTGTTTGTGCTTTCTTCTAATTAAATGAATGAGCTGATTAATTCTGTTGAAACGTGATGTGCGCTGCAGCGTGACAGCGTGACCTCTGACCCTTTAATGACTAGCTGGTTTAATCTATTGTAATCATAATGAGTCTCATTTTTCATACCTGAAGTTCATGTAGTATTATGTTTCCTGGCAGACGAGTGAATGGTCGTTCTGGAGCCGGTTAACTCCAGTTAAACCAGTCTTCACCCGCACGGCGACAGATAGGCATCACAGAAACCAGAATAATGTAAACAGGCCCCAAACCACAGAAGCCCACTTCCCCCGATGGGTCGTGTGTGTGAGCCGTCACTATCCACACACACATCTACATCTCCAACACTACGTCTATTGATTCAGCATTTCAGAGTTATTTAATACTTCATATGAAAAGTGTGTTACAGTTACACAACCGGGTTTTGTTATATAATCAGAGACACTGATACATTCGGTTTGGTCGCTGCAGGCGAACTACACATTGTTCCCTGAAGATAAAGACTTTAATTCCTGATTCTTTGAACTCGGTGAAGTTTTGAAACGCTGCCATGTCTGTGCAAGAGTCGCTGGCAGAAGCGAAGGATGTTTCGGGCATTATTGATCCGACATGAATCGAATAACTCTTTTATTGTGTCAATAAATTCTGCATATATTGTGATAATCATTGGTTTTCCGTGCCGTTCTGTCGTGTGTTTTTCTGGTCGGTTTAGATTGCAGTGGTTTTCATCAAAAGTCGTCAAATGTAAGTCTTCACTCTGTAAAGTAAATATAGATTCATCTTTATCAAAGTTACCAAAGTTATCCAGCGAAGACCAGTGAGGGATTTCTGTCTTCTGTTGTTTGACTAACATTGCAAACACAGACGGCAGGAATATTAGGCCGCTGTCACTTTAAGAGCGAATGCACGGATCCAATACACTGATACACACACTTTACCCTCTCAACTGTTTGCGTTCACTTTAGTGTGTGTCTTCAAGCGCAGGAAGACGTGATGGAGAGCTCAGTTTAGCATTTAGTAACGATTTAAAACAGGTGCACATAATAAACGATCAGCTATTACATGTAAAACAAATGCTAAAAAAGTGAAGTTGGCCAATATTGACCTTTTAATGAATTTGTTTCAATGAATTGCAAATATACAATGTAGAAGAAGTACAGTATACAAGTCATAAGCTGTTTAATTTATATTTTAAACCTTTATTGCACACATTTAAAAAAAAACTAATAAAAATGACAAAAACACTCCACAAAATGACTTAAAGTTGAACTAAAATTAAAGTTAAAACAGAAATAATAAAAAATATAGATAAAAACTAATGGTTATGTTAAAAAATGAATAAAAAAATATATAAACTCTCAACAAAATGATCAAAAATTAAAACATAAAATGAAAAAAAAATCAACATTATATGTAAAAAGAAAAATAAATCTATTAAAAATGCTAAAAGGTTAAATTAACCTGAACTTATAATGAATTTATTTCAATGAATTGCAAATACAACATAGAAGTACAATATAGAACAATTCACAATTCAACACAATTCCTTATTATAATTATTTATAAAAATAGAAATATAATTATTTTTAAGGTAACACTTTACAGCAAGTACCATTGTTAAATAATATGAACATGCAACTTTGTGATTTTAATAATAAGCGCAAACTAATGTTAACTTAGCAGTATTTTTAAATATTCTTTTACAGTTATGTTTAATTTAGTTGTTTTTTGATGTTTATTCCTAGTAAGTAAAAATGTAAAATGTTTGTTTGTTTTTCTCAATAAAGTGCATTGCATTGTGGGATGCCGTGTGCTCTTCACACTCGCGTAACAACTCTTCATACAACAGTTGCTTTAAGTCAAATATAAGCGTGAGGATTCAGTGTCTGATGATCTGGAGGATCACGCTGGAATTAGGCTAGTTTGAACTAAAGCTAATTATTTTAATTCAATAGTAGCATTTTATTTGCAGCTATTCACACACACCTGCAGTGAGACACACATACCTGTTGAACAGGTGTATTTGGCATCGCTCCAGGATTCCGGCGCTTTACTGGAAAGTGTGTGAGCTCTGCCCGTAAACCGAGCCCAGTGGGCGGGGCCTGGGCGATCCTGCGCTGTGATTGGCTGCGCGTGATGTCAGCGCTTGGCCTCATTCTGGTTCAGAAGTTAAACTGGTAATTAACCCTCAGATCAACTCTAGACAATGATTAATCCAACCGCTTTCACTTTCCCAGAGTCCCAAACATCGATCCTCTCATCTAAAGCTGAAACGTTAATATTTCTGTGCAAAAGCAACTTTATAACCAAGAAAAGACGTTCGAATATCAGCGAGTTTCACGGTTTTGGTCGCCGCGTACTCTTATTGTTCTGATGACTGCACTATTATGAAATGTGTGACATGTGTAGGAGTGTCTTAACCGGCAGTGTGTGTGTTTATATTGTTGTGTTTCAGTGTAAACTTAAATTAATAACCTGTGACGCCTGTATTTAGTGTTATATGTCCACTGACGCACACACACACATTCTAACACACTCTCTGCACTGCGTTGTGTACTCGAGTAAACATGATAAGCAGGATTTTTAATTGTATTTAATTGCTTGCTCTAATATTACCCACATCGCTTTGTGTCAATTTAAGTTTGCAAACCTAAAAGTTACATAATTTTGACATTAAAGCTGAATTAATTTAGCTAGCGCTAACATGCTAATGCAAACGGTACACTACTTAAAATTAAATTAAAATATAAAACACTCATTTTCTTTTAGTTTAACCTTGATGTACTGAAATAACTTTAAAAGTGAGAATATATAAAATATTAATACAAACTATAATCATGTTTAAAAAACGATTAAATCAAAATAAATAAATAAAAGTTACAAAAACACTCAACAAATTGACTAAATCTTTAAAATTAACATTTTTATAGTAAAGTTCAACATGAATAAACGGATAGTAAACGTTAGTACAGTAACACTGATCAGGATTCAGCTTAATAATGTGCTAATGTGACATACTGTCTTATTAAAGTGTCCGTTTAGCACACGTGTTGTCTGCTAGCGGTATGCTAACTGGGACGTAGCGCTGTCTCACGTTCCGAGTGCATGTTGATTCGTCCTGGTGCATCATGGGAAGGGTAATCAACCAACATTCATATCTTAGACAAACAACGGTTTGATTGAAAACAACATCAGTGTGGCACCCAGCAGTGGATTACCCAGCATGCCCTGCTGCAGTGTTGACCGCGCTCTCACATGAACCATTAGCTTTTATCAGCGTGATAAAGCTTTACCGTAAGTAGCGTCTCTCTCTCTCACTACGCCCATGTTTACCGCTCTCTTCCACAGAAATCACTCCTGACTTTAATGGCTCAATATTAAAGTTCGAACTCGTGACCTTTGACCCGCTCGCGTCTGGATCCAGAGACGCTCAGAGGCTGAGCTGTGCTGAAGTGTTTTGCTAATCAACGAGTGTGTGTTTGGATGTAAACAGCTTACAGTCAGTGAGACGTATCAGAGAGCGATGTTAACACACACACACACACATTGACACACACTCACACACACACACTGACACACACTCATTGACACAAACTCACACGTCTCATTACTGGAACTGACCTCAATAACTTAACGACTCTGTAACTTTGTAACCCACACACACATTGACACACAAACACACTGACGCACACACACACACTAACACAAACACACACACACACACATTTAATTCAGTGTTCTGCAAAACTTCTAGTGTTTTTGGTCAGTCTGCTCAAGTAATGAAGTATGGTTGCTAGGTTGGCCTGAATGGTTGCTAGGGTGTTGCTATGTGGTTGCTAAGGTGTACAGATTTAAAAACCTGTAGGTTCTGTCAGAAATGAGGTTTAATGGGAACGTTAGATGTCGGTGACACTAGTTTGCATTAGTTACATGAGCTAAGAATGAACAACACTTCTACAGCATTTATTAATCTTAGTTCATATTAATTTCAACATTTACTAATACATTATTAAAATCAAAGGTTGTATTTGTTAGCTTTAGTTGCTGCACTGTGAACTAACATTAACGAAGATTAATAGATACTGTAACACATGCTGATTTCTGAATGAACATCTTGTGTGATCTGGGTCAGCGAGATCAACATCAGGGCCGTAAAACACACACACACTTCATGTTTACAGACACACACGTGAGGAAGAGCCTGGACACACACACACACACACACACACACACACACACACACACTCACTCACACACTCTCACTCACTCACTCACTCACTCACTCACTCACTCACACACACACACACACTCACTCACACACACACACTCACTCACTCACTCACTCACTCACTCACTCACACACACACACACAAACACACACACACACACGCACACACACGTCACACTGTTTGAGCGGCAAATCACTTTATTACCGTGAGATTAACAAAACATCCGAACAGATCAACATTATGAAGATGTGTGTGTGTGTGTGTGTGTGTGTGTGTGTGTGTGTGTGTGTGTGTGTGAGTGAGTGAGTGAGTGAGTGAGTGAGTGAGTGTGTGTGTGTGTGTGTGAGTGAGTGAGTGTGTGTGTGTGTGTGTGTGTGTGTGTGTGTGTGTGTGTGTGTGTGTGTGTGTGTGTGTGTGTGTGTGTGTGTGTGTGTGTGTGTAAATCGACACTTCTCTGTCTGACAGTTACATCATCATCATTTGTATTTATGCTAAATGACTGGATGCCACTCATTCAAATATTTTTTTTAATAAACAATGATATATATACTGTATATAATATAACAAATTCATAAAATATAAAAATATGTATTAAAACATTTTAAACACACACACACACACACACACACACACACACACACACACACACACACACACACACACACACACACATATATATATATATACACACAAAATATTCCAAATAACTAGATGCCAAAAATGATTTACATAATATGACATTTTTAAAATAAAATAACAAATAAAACTGTATATAATCAATATATGTAATGAATGTATGATATATATATATATATATATATATAGCTATATAATATTTTGATTAAATATATTTAAAATATGCTAAATAACTGGATGTCTCTTATTAAATTAATACACATACATGCAAAATAACTGGATGCCAATCTTTGAATTAAACGTAATAATCCTGCACGAAATGTGCAATTCACACTTTCACACACTCATGTTTTTAACACAAGTGTGAATACGCAGTGTGTGTTTTTCTCCGCAAACAGAGCCCGCGTCACGTGACTAATGGATAACTGGCCTGTGTCGATCGTGTCACTTCCAAAATATTGACCGGAAATTAAATTATTAACAAATAATCACAAACCAGATGCAATCTAGAGGCTTACGTTTGGATGAAAACACTGTCGAGTGTGTTCTCTAGGCGTGTGTGAGATAATAATGTGTGTGTGGGCCGCTGATCTACATGGATTTTACTTGGAAGTTGAAGGGGAGAAGGCGGGAAAATCCCTGCATACTTATGCAAATCAGCTGGATGAGATCATCGTGGGAGAGACAGGATGTAGGCGGAGCTTCGCGTCACATGGGCAACAGCAATAACGCATTACAGCGCGTGTGCATCAAAGTATAGTCTGAACTTCATATATAAAATAGGAAAAATCTCCAAAAATGCATTTATTTAATTCAAGCACTTCAAGCACTCTTGCTAGATTAAAACAAATGTTGTGATGATGTGATGACAGCATGAGTAAATAAAGGAAGACAGTCATTATGAATAAGTCATGAAACACAATAGAGGGAGAAATACCGAGGTAGTAAATCACTCAACAGATTGTCATTCAGTTTGACAAATTTGACACTTTTGTTGTTGTTGTTGTTAATGCCTTAATTAACTAGTTGATGTCACAAAGAAGATATTTTATTTGGGTACTGTTAGAGAAAATGTACATTTATGAATAAAATATTTTGCCAATACAATAAATACATTTCCTATATATTCTATTTTATAATTACAATGAAAAGAATAAGAAATTACATCACCCAATGTTAAATCAATGTCTAATTTTAGTTCATGATCACCGTCTCGATCCTGACCCGGTTAGTCACGTGACTGTGGCGTCTAACATTGTTTAAATTAATTATTTCAGTTACTGGACATCAATCATTCAGGAGAAACACCCAAACACACCAACAATCCTGCCAATATATATATATATATATACATTATGATTAAAAAAGATTTGTTCTTCTGGACTTTCTATTCATCAAAGAATCCTGAAATAAAAATGTAAATAACAGTTTTCAACACTTATAATATTCATAAATGTTTCTTGATCCTCATATTAGAGTGATTTCTGAAGGATCATGTGACACTGAAGACTGGAGTAATGATGCTGAGAATGACAGGAATAAATTACACTTAAAAATATATTACAATAGAAACCAGTTATTTTAAATTATCATAATATTTAACAATATCACTGTTTTTTTTTTCTTCTTCTTGTATTTTTAATCAAATAAATGCAGCTTTAGTGAGCAGAAGAGACTTTAAAACATTAAAAATCTTACAGATCCAAAACTTTTCACTGGTGTGTGTGTGTGTGTGTATATATACATGCTCCAGTTTCACTTGGCATAAACATCATAATCATAATCATCGTTCACACTGACCATCACACTTTCCAGAGAACTGTGGAAGAATGTTGCGTTGAAAAATAGAAACAAGACTCGACAGGAGTTTGAGAAATGCAGTGAACACACACACACACGCTCTTATCTGAAGCATGTCATTAATCATCTCCACACACACTCTCTGCAGTTTAACACACATCGCTTCTCTTCAGGGGTCGCGTACATCGGATCGGGAACGCTCCTTTCGGCAGCGCGAGGCCCGTTCACACCGAGGACTATAACGATAAAGATATAGTTCTAAATATCGTTATCGTAAATATATAAAGGAATAGCAGAGTTCACGCCACAACTATAATGATATCGTTAAATAAACTTTCAGAAAAAATTTTTCCAGCTGATGAACGATAAAAACATTGACAGCCAATCAGAATCCATCCTGCTTTAAAGAGCTCAAGAGTTTAAAGCGGCAAACGACAAAACTGCAGCGCTTATAATAAACAAATATCGTGGATTGGTGTAAACACTGATTGTTATCGTTATAGTTATCGTCCGCTGGTGTGGATGCTAATATAGTTATCGTTATAGTTATCGTCCGCTGGTGTGAACACTAATATAGTTATCGTTATAGTTATCGTCCGCTGGTGTGAACACTAATATAGTTATCGTTATAGTTATCGTCCGCTGGTGTGAACACTAATATAGTTATCGTTATAGTTATCGTCCGCTGGTGTGAACACTAATATAGTTATCGTTATAGTTATCGTCCGCTGGTGTGGACACTAAATGTAGTTATCGTTATAGTTATCGTCTGCTGGTGTGAACACTAATATAGTTATCGTTATAGTTATCGTCCGCTGGTGTGAACACTAATATAGTTATCGTTATAGTTATCGTCCGCTGGTGTGAACACTAATATAGTTATCGTTATAGTTATCGTCCGCTGGTGTGAACACTAATATAGTTATCGTTATAGTTATCGTCCGCTGGTGTGAACACTAATATAGTTATCGTTATAGTTATCGTCCGCTGGTGTGGACACTAAATGTAGTTATCGTTATAGTTATCGTCCGCTGGTGTGGACACTAATGTAGTTATCGTTATAGTTATCGTCCGCTGGTGTGGACGCTAATGTAGTTATCGTTATAGTTATCGTCCGCTGGTGTGGATGCTAATATAGTTATCGTTATAGTTATCGTCCGCTGGTGTGAACACTAATATAGTTATCGTTATAGTTATCGTCAGCTGGTGTGAACACTAATATAGTTATCGTTATAGTTATCGTCCGCCGTTGTGAACACTAAAATAGTTATCATTATAGTTATCGTCAGCTGGTGTGAACACTAATATAGTTATCGTTATAGTTATCGTCTGATGGTGTGAACACTAAAATAGTTATCGTTATAGTTATCGTCCGCCGGTGTAAACACTAATATAGTTATCATTATAGTTATCGTCCGCTGGTGTGAACACTAATATAGTTATCGTTATAGTTATAGTTATCGTCCGCTGGTGTGAACACTGATATAGTTATCGTTATAGTTATCGTCCGCTGGTGTGAACACTAATATAGTTATCGTTATAGTTATCGTCCGCTGGTGTGAACACTAATATAGTTATCGTTATAGTTATCGTCCGCTGGTGTGAACACTAATATAGTTATCGTTATAGTTATCGTCCGCTGGTGTGAACACTAATATAGTTATCGTCCGCTGGTGTGGACACTAATATAGTTATCGTTATAGTTATCGTCCGCTGGTGTGAACACTAATATAGTTATCGTTATAGTTATCGTCCGCTGGTGTGAACACTGATATAGTTATCGTTATAGTTATCGTCCGCTGGTGTGAACACTAATATAGTTATCGTTATAGTTATCGTCCGTTGGTGTGAACACTAATATAGTTATCGTTATAGTTATCGTCCGCTGGTGTGAACACTAATATAGTTATCGTTATAGTTATCGTCCGCTGGTGTGAACACTAATATAGTTATCGCTATAGTTATCGTCCGCTGGTGTGAACACTAATATAGTTATCGTCCGCTGGTGTGGACACTAATATAGTTATCGTTATAGTTATCGTCCGCTGGTGTGAACACTAATATAGTTATCGTTATAGTTATCGTCCGCTGGTGTGGAGCTAATATAGTTATCGTCCGCTGGTGTGGACACTAATATAGTTATCGTTATAGTTATCGTCCGCTGGTGTGAACACTAATATAGTTATCGTTATAGTTATCGTCCGCTGGTGTGAACACTGATATAGTTATCGTTATAGTTATCGTCCGCTGGTGTGAACACTAATATAGTTATCGTTATAGTTATCGTCCGTTGGTGTGAACACTAATATAGTTATCGTTATAGTTATCGTCCGCTGGTGTGAACACTAATATAGTTATCGTTATAGTTATCGTCCGCTGGTGTGAACACTAATATAGTTATCGCTATAGTTATCGTCCGCTGGTGTGAACACTAATATAGTTATCGTCCGCTGGTGTGGACACTAATATAGTTATCGTTATAGTTATCGTCCGCTGGTGTGAACACTAATATAGTTATCGTTATAGTTATCGTCCGCTGGTGTGGAGCTAATATAGTTATCGTCCGCTGGTGTGGACACTAATATAGTTATCGTTATAGTTATCGTCCGCTGGTGTGAACACTAATATAGTTATCGTTATAGTTATCGTCCGCTGGTGTGGAGCTAATAATAGTTGTTCTTGCTGTAAATGGGCCTTTAGAAAGCAACTATAAAGCATTTAAATGACAACATTTTGAAATGACGATGCATGCAATTGTAAGTGTTTTAAAAACGTATTTTCTTGGTTATGTGAACGTTAAGGGAACATTTCATTGTATCATTCTTCAAACATTATGGGAACGTTCTGAAACAAGTAGTAACATTTAAAAAACGTTAGATGAACGTCCAACTGAAACATATCAGAAAAGTTTTTGTGCTAGCATTTGGAGAATATTATTGAAGACCCGATAACTTTGAACAAATGTTCTATTAACGTTTCTGGAGGAATGTTTGTTCATAAGTCAAGTCACCTATATATATATATATATATATATATATATAGCAATACAGTACAGTACAATACAGATTGTATCAAAACAGCTTTACAGAGATAACAGGAAAATAATGCAACAAAGTTTGTTTCCAGAAGAAAATTGCGTCATCGTCCACCTGAAGTAAGGCAGATCAATACTATACATAACTTTGAGAGAACCTGTTAGCAGGGCAATGACTGTAAGTTTACACCTTTCTCTCGGGCACGGCTTCTCAAAAACATTCTTGACCTGAATAATTATTGTCGGTAATTTCAGTTTAGACAACAGCTCTTTTAGGAGTGTACAGAGAATGTTAGTCATGCTAGTCACGGTTCTAACTGACAATCCACCTGATGTTTACAGTGCGCATAGTTTTGTGTATTGTTTTAAAAATGAAAATATAACAGTGCGCACACCTGAAACACGCCTTGAAATGAGGTTATGTGATGCACATGTTATTGTAAGCAAGCGCTCATAATCTCTGGGTGACTGGTCATACACACTAAAAACATGACAATGGTGTTAAGATCCCAGAGTGAAACTTCTGTTTTAAGTAACTAGTGATCAAGTCATCTGAGATGGTTTGGTGGATTCTAGCGTAAAATAAACCCGACCAGATTAGCCGTCTCCAATAACCGTAATTCCAGTGTAGTTTAAAGAGTTTTCGAGCTCATGAAAACTCTTTTCTGAGTGTTTTGTGCAGCTCTCACAGGTATTAAATGGTGTTTTATTTCAGACACATGAGATTTTCCAATTCAAACACTATTTACTGCTTTGAATTGGGACGACGGTTCTCTTGCTCGCTTGCCTCAGCTACATCTATTTGCATGTGGGTCCAAAATTCAAATGCAATGTGGCGTATATATGTGTGTATTTGAATGCCGGACATCTAAAAAACAGTCGCATTGTGCTCTAAAATGCAAAACTAAACCTGCTATGAAAAATGCGATTCAGTTCAAGCTAAGGTCGACTGCATCAAATGCGTCGTTTGGAAATTCTAGGCGTGAAAACCAAACCATAACACAAAAATTGGCATTTAGACTCATGTGTTTTTATTTTACAGTTTAAAGTCATCCTAAACATGTGCACAGTTAAATCACGTTTAAAACCGAGCGGCAATGTATTAAATAGCCGAATATTTTTTAAGTTTGCACGATTTGAAATGCCAAAAAAAGTCTAGTTTTGATAATGGAGACAGTCTTAGGTTTGTTAGTGGTGGTTAATGTGATTCTCTACACCTGTTTGAACTGCTTTTATACGTGCACTAAAAATCACCTGATTCAAACACATTTTTTTAGACTTCAAACGTCATGAAGATACGTGATGTTTTGGATATATTTTGGAGCCTCGCAGTAAAAAAAAACCTGCTGAATCATATGGCATGTGAGATCTTGATTTGCACTGATATTTGACCCGCATTTTTAACATGTTTATGCTGGACGGTTGAGACGCACAATAACTCAAGTAGCGTTTGTCTGTGCGAGCTGATGCATATATTCGTGTTGAAATTTATACAGAAGTGTCTCATTTCAACACACCTGTGATCTCTGATAACAAGACTTGAGCAAATATAAAGTAAATGTTGAAATAAGTTTGAGTGCAACGTAGTTAAAGAGGGTGAGGCACCAACTACAAGATAAACGCATCAAAAGAGAGTTTTCATTAGAAATTTTATTTTAGAAAAAGCTCATACAAAAGAAACAGCAAATATATGCCATACATAATAGTTATAGTATACAATCTGCGAGGGAATCCTCATACACATTATCCAGTGACTTAACAAATCACATAAAAAAATTGAGCAGAATCTTCAGTGATATATCTGATTTGCACTAGATTGACAAGTATTATGAAGAATATATTGTCCTTTTTACATACATGTGTGTACACAGCAAATGTGAACGTTACAAAACTTCAAACCACCGTCATGTTCTTCGGTCAGTCTACTCTGACAAACAGTTACGCATGAAACTTCATTTCCCAATACCAAAGAGGCTTTACAAAGCTTTACATTCTCTCACAGTTCAACCATTGTGTAGAACATGTGTTTACAGAGTCTTTAAGTGGTGTAGCGATACCATCTGATCCAGGCCACGCCCGCGTGCCAATCCAACCAGACAAGCCCCACTATACAATTTTTACCGGTTCATAAAACCTACTTTAGCCAAAACACTGGCTTACAGTTTCTGTGAAACCTTTTCCCTCTGGGAAGAGTGTGTTTCTAAAGCGAGGATCTTCAATCTTCAAGCCCATTAAGCCTGAGACCAAAACCTCTACGTTTGACTAGAAGCGACTCTCTCTTTAGTATCCGGTCTCCTCCACTCTCCAACCGGTGGAGTTCTTCCCGAACTTGTAGACGAGCCTACGTCCATCAACCCTCTCCAGAATCTCTCGCTTGTAGTAATACCTGTAGGAAAGAGCAAGAGTTTCAATTATTCCTCGATCCCAGACACAGAGACAAATCCCACCCTCCCCGAAACCCTTGATCCCAGGATTGAGTCCTTTACCTCATGGCTCTACTGAGCTTCTCGTACGTCATGCTGCTGTTCTTCTTCTTCTGCCCCCAAAGCTGAGCAACGGCTTCGGACTTGAGGAACTTGAATACGCCATCCCTTCTGTCCTCCCACTTCATCAGACCCTGGTTCTGCTCCGGATGAATCAGGATATCTCGGATAAACTCCCAAAGGTGGGTTCCTCTTGGAGCTGCAATTAAAGTCTTGTTAGACTCTTCTTACACTTGATCTCTGCATCAGGTCCCAGCAAGCAATATTGCGTTTAAAAGAAGTCTAAAAGCCGCCCCAACATGTTTGGATGGCTATTAGACGTCTGTTAAATGCAAAATTGCTTGCTGGGGTACGTCTTTAAATAGAGTTCTGCGTACTTACCATGTTTGCTCTTTTTGGACTGAATGAAGTGTTCGTATCCCTCATTATCCCTGGGCTTTGGAGGGCGTCCTCTACCTCTCTTCTGGTTCTTTCCAGGCTCTTGTTTTACAGTGACCTCTGTGGAAAAGGAAGCATTCAAATGTTAGACAACTACCTCTTGGATCATTCAGGGTTCTGTCACTTCATCATCCCAGCTATCGATGGCTCCTCGAGAACCACCTTCCTGCAGAGTTTAGAGTTTAGTTTCAACCTGTCTTTAACTGTCAGGTAATCCCGAAGACCTTGATTAGCTGGTTCAGGTGTGTTTGACTAGCCTCTGCAGGTTGATAGGCCTTGAGGAGCGAGGTTGAGCTTCGAAGGAACTTACTTGAGCTAACGGAGAAAGGTATCTCTGAGTATTCAGGGTCTGAATCGCTGCTGCTGCTGGACTCGGGGGAGCTCGGGTTCAGGAAGCTGCCTGAAAAGGACGAAAACAAAGAGTTTAGACTTCAGGATGTTCTTTGAAAGAGTTAATTGTTCATGCGAGTTTAGTGGAGATGCGTACCTGCGTGGGAACTCTGGAAACTCTCGGTTAGGGAGTCATATCCGTGATCGCTCTCTGGAGTCAGCTGGTTGGTGTACTCATCGAAGTAACTGTATTTTGTCTCTGAATTGTCTGCGGAAACAGAATTACTTTATTATTTCCAGTTCGGGCAAGTTGGTACTGCTCACTATGGATTGGGTTTAAAGGTCAGAAAGTGGACTCACCAGTTGGGATTGAGGTTTGGACCACCACGGTTTCCAGCAGAGGTCCGAGGTTTGGTCCATGCATGAAGGGAAACTGGTCATGAAGGATGTTTTCCAGTATATCTAATTCAGATTCACTTAGAACGGTGTTGTCAGACAAGTCATTAGCTGTAGATACAAGCAAATCAAGGGTGTTAATGCATTCCCAAGGGGTACAACTTCCAAAAAAAAGGGTTCGGTTAAACAAGTCACTCACCATGTCTGGCTTTTAGGTTCTCTAGATTCTGGTGAAGCCGTTCACCAAACCTCTGTCCAAACATGCCCATCAATGTTTCTTTAGACATGGCGCACAATGTGAGCCCATCCATGTCGCAGTAGCTCATATTCAGCCGACTTGCATCAAACCGGCCCTCCTCCACGTGAAAGCCGATCCACTCCAGAACATTCTGCCTTGTCCACATTTGCGGGTTGACCTGGTCCCAGGGGCCTGCCGGAGAACAGGTTTAAAAGTACGTTTAGATTCATTCACACCTGCACAGGTGATTCGGTCACAGATCTAACAATAGAAGAACACTGTCTCCAGGGTTTGGCGCTTCTGTTGTGTGTTTAACTATCTGTAGTGTTGACACCCCCCCGTAGGGTTTTTGATCACAGTGTCAACACTGCCGAAAGCCCGTAAAGAAAGCATTCCTGCGCGCCAAGTTAAACATTGCCCGGGTTAATGATTTTAAGAGTCAGAAACTGAAGTCAGACAGCAGGGAGGAGAGATTATCGGCATGTCTGGGCTTTGGTTGAGTGATGGGAAGCATCCCGTAACATTAGTCAAGTCAAGTCACCTTCATTTATACAGCGCTTTTAACAATATGGACTGTTTCAAAACAGCTTTACAGTGACAATAGGAGATTACAGTAACAGAGGCTTTACAGCAGCTCTAGGATAAAGGTATTGTCCAGCTAAAGTTAGTTTCGATTGATTCACTTCCGTTGCAAAGATCATTAGTTATTAACTTAGAATAGGGATGTCAAGAAC